CAATATATTTATCATTGATACTTTTGAATTGAATACATGATGTGTTATCAATAAAGATTATTTAAACAATATTGATGATAAATGAGATAAACCATAATTATAGTGTTATTGATATGTCAAACATAAAATAACAATATAAATAATGATGAAATTTAATATTCATTTATTTCAAAATAAAAATCAAATAATAAATTAAATGATGAAATATTTAAATTGATAATGATTGAAAAAAAACAATAAATGAATAGAAATAAAACATGAAGAATAAAGTGAAAGAATACATTCTCAACATGATGAAAACATAATCATAAATAATTCATATTTAATTTCTTTATTTTTATTATCCATTTTTTATTATTATTTTATTTATTATTTTTATTATTATTTTTATTTTATATTTATCTTTAACTTCTCTCTTATTTATTCTCACTCCTCTTTTCTTATTCTCTTATTTTTATTCATTTCTCATTTAATATCTTATTTACTTATTTCTACTATGATATTATTGTTTATTTTATATTTTACTTGATAACAATTCATTTTATATTATTATTTCTTATCAACTTTATCATTTCTTGTTCTTAAATCATTCTATTATTTTCATTTATTTATTTATTTATTCAAATGAAAATCAAAATTGAATGATTTCTATTGAAATGAACATTGTATTTCATGATTTCTTATGTTTTATTCATTTTATTTTGATTGATGTTATCAAATCATTCTTATTTCATTTGATATTATTTAATGAATATAAATAATTTTAATATAATAAATATAATAACTGAAATATGAAATAAATAAATAAATAAGATAAAATATGAAATAATCAAACACAAATATTAATAATATAACAATAATATAATACACATATCAAATATAAATTAAATAACAAATAACTAAATTCAATTATCATATCATTATTTATTTTATAATAATATTTCTACTTCTTCTTTTTATGATTTATCTATTTCTTATTATTTATTTCTTTTTTTATCTTTCTTATAAATATTGAAATAATATGATATTTATTTATCATCTCATTCATTATGAAGAAGAAATATAATATTAATATTAATATAAAATTATCACTCTTTATATTAACACACATTTATTTTAATATGAATAATTATGATTTTATATCATCAAAATTATTATCAACACACAAACAACACAACACCATCATTTACTTATTCTATTACTTTTCATAATAATACAATAAATATTTAATAAGAAAATTAATAAATAATAAGAATAAGAAATAAATAAACATAATAATAAGATAATAAATAATAAAATAACAATAATAATATATTCAAATTATTCTTTATTTTAATCATTCAACAATAATTTATTCTCATTAACAATTCAATAATCAACATTATTTTCATTTATTTATTAATAGAAAATAACAAATAACAGAATGATAATATTAATAAACTAACAAGAAGATGAATAAAATAAATAAAGAAAAGAAATAATATAATAAAATAATGAAATATAAAATAAATAAAAAATGAATGATATTTTCATATAAAATAACTCTAAAATAAATTGATAAATATAAATAAATATGATAAATGAAAATAATGATTATTTAATTTATTTACATAATCAGATGAATATTATAATAATACAATAATAGAAAATGAAATATAATAATTAATAGAATTGTTGAATATGAATAAAATCAAATATGAAAAAGAAAATAATAAAATAATAATGAATATAAATTAAATATGAATAAAATAAATAAAGTGTAATATAAGAAATGAAACAAATATTATAGAATAATAAAAATAAATAATGGAGAAGTTATTTAATGTGAATAGTATGAAATTATTAGTGAAATAAAAATATAAAATTGTATATTAAAGAGAAAAAAGAAAAATTGAAAAAAAATAAAGAATTTGAAAGAATGAAATAAAAATAGAAATAGTAATGAATGTTTGTGTTATTTCATTAGTTATTTGTTGTGTATTTTGTTATTTTCTTGATCTTTTTGTGTATATTAAGAAATTATAATGAAAAATTAAAAAATAAAAACAGATAATATTTGTAATATTGAATTAAATAAATATGAATTAAATGATGATATAATCAATATCTGATTATTGAAATTTATTTTATAATTACAAAATGATTTATATTTTAATTTGAATGATGAATTAAAATGATAATGTTAATTTCAGTTTTAATCATGTTATAAATTAATTAATATAAAAGATAATAGAATATGATAAATATTAATGAATTTAATTGTTAATATATGACACAAATGAAATAAAATATTTATCATAATGTTTCTATGAGATTATTAAATTATTTTATATGTTATTTCTTATAATTATTACATTTCTTTATTATTTTATTTTTATTTTAATTTATCAAATTATTCTGTTTCTTTATTACTCATTTCATTATTGTTAATGTTATAATATTACTTATTCATGTTAGTTATTTTATTTTTATGAAACAATGTAATTATGAATAGATATTTATTTTATATATGAATATCTTATTTATTGTAATATCATTATTCAATATTTTTATTATTTTTAATTAGAGATATTATTTTAAATATATTCTTTGTATATTCTTATTCTAGTTATTATGTACAATCATTATTTTTATTATTAGTTTCTTTTGTTTTTTATCTATATTTTCATGTTAGTGTATTTTATTACATACATATTGTGTTGTAAATATAAGTATTTATTCTATTATTATGTCTTGTATTATTATCATTTATTATGTTAATTTATTTATATCTATTTTGTATTGAATATTATTTGTATTTTTATATTTATTCATTAATTTATTTGTTTCTTCTTTATTTATTTGATTTATTTATTGTTTAAATATTCTTATTTCATAACAAATTAAAAGATAAATATATAATAAATAAAGACATTGATAAGATGGATAAACAAATAAAAGAATAATTAAATTAATGTAATCAATATAATTAAAAGAAGATAATTAGAAATAGAATAAATATAATTAATAAAAAATAATTAATATGTTAAATTATTATTCATTAGAATCTAATGAATTAATAATAATTTATTATTTATATCATATACATTTATTTATTGATAATATTTCATGAAATAATATAATTGATTATTGAATAAATGATTATTTAAATATGATTTAGAATATATTCATTATAATTGAACATTTTATAATTTATTCATGTATTTTAATTACAAAACAATATGTTGAATATACTAATCTATTATAAATACAATAAATAATGTATTTAAATTAATAAATCAATTAATATAACAGAATACAAATTATTGATAATATTAATTAATTGAATAAATATTTAGAATAATATGTTTTAAAGATATAATCAAGAATATATTATATTCATTATTTTCAAATGATTATTGTGAGAAAGAAGATAATAATAAAGAGTTATATAAAATAAATATAAAAATATTGATTTTTATTATTTAAATTCATAAATTAATAATAATTCAATAAGAGATTATCAATTTATTTTATGTGATAATGAAGATATTGTTAATCACAATGAACAATTAATTTATTTTAAATATTTCATTTATTTATATTAAATATTGATAATAATAATAAGAATATATTTGAAAATAACAAATAGTATTGATTTTATGTTATAAATCAAAATGAAATAAATAATAATGAGAATATAATAATTAAAATAATTAATGAAGAAAATCACATTTTATTATTCAACATGAAGATGTGAATTTGATATGAAATAATAAATAGAATTTAATTGTTAATTTTCATTTAAAAATAAATAATATTTTGTATATAATTTTATAAAAATTATATTTTATGATAAACTTAAAATAAATAACAGAAAATTGATGGAAAACAACAAATAATATAAATAAATTAATCATCATTTTTATTTACATTAATTTTATATTTTCATTCATTAAAAATGAATAAGAGATAATAACAAATTTAAACAAATAAATCAATATATGAAGAAAGAAAAAAGAGAAATAAGAACATTGTTATAAACATAATGAATATAAATAAGAAATGAAAAAGAAGAGATGAGTAATAAGTATGAAATAATATAATAATAAATATTAATATATTTTTCAATCAAGAATGTAAATACAATAATAAAAGATAATCAAATATTTTTAATGAGTTAAAATTCATAAATATTAAATATATTAATTATCAATCATTTCTAACATTAAATATCATATATTTTATTTAATTAAATAATCAGAAAAATGATAAAGATGATAATGAAACTAGAAATGATAAGAATAAATAATGAAATATAAAGTGAATATGAAAGAGTGGATATAATAAATATATTTAAACAATGATATTTTTTAAATTCAAAATGAATAGAATGATAATGAAAAATAAAGAAGAATAAATAGAAATTGAAAATATAGAGTTTAAAAAAGAAAATAAAACAAGAGATAAAGTCAAATAAACAAAATAAAAATTAATTATAATAATAGAAAAAGAATAAAGATAGAAATATAAATGAAATTGAAATAATTGAAACACAAAAAAATAATGATTTTATATATAACAATTGTTACCCCTTCAATGTTATTATAATTTTATAATAAAGAAAACTGAAATGATAAAACAAGGAAAAGGTATTAACAATAAAATTAAAAGAATAAACAAGAAAGAAAATGTAATAAAATACGAAATAAGTCAAATAATTTTATCTATTTTTAATTTAAAGAAAATTCAATTCAAGAAAAAAGATAAAAATAAATAAAGAATAATTAAATTATTTTGAAATTTTACATTGTTAAAAAACTTTTTTGTAATGTTATTTCATGAAAACATAATTAACGATAAAAATATACCGAAATATAAAAATAAAACAGAATAAAATATAAAAACGAATGATGTTTAAAAGAATTAACCAATCAGAAAAGAAGTAACTCTTCTAAATAAATAACCTATTTTCTAAATTATCAGTATTTAAACTACAAAATAAACTTATTATTCATCAAATGTCAAGAGTAATAGTAAGATTCTATTTGAATGGAAAATGTATTTCAACTATACCAATGAATTCACAAGACAATTTGAAAACAGTTAGAGAAAAATTAAAAGAAAAGATATCTGATTCTCAACAATTTCTATCAAAAGATGGAGAATTAATTGATATAAATGATGAAGATTCATTTACTATAGGAGATATAATTGATTCATCAAGAATAATAAATATCAAAGAAACAGCAGATAAAAAAAGAATAAAAATAAAATTAAATGATGAAATAATTAGCACTGTTCAAGTAGATACTAAAACAAAGATAAGTGATATCAGAAAATCAAATCAAAATATTCCAGAAACTGCACATTTCTATACACTTGATGATGAAATAATTGCAAAAGAAAATGAAGAACAATTTTTAGTAGAAGATATATTAAGTAATGATGAAATTAATCTTAAAAAAGAGAAAGAAAATACAGTAGAAATGGATATTGTAACTGCTGGAATATATTTAAATGGAAAACCTTCAGGGGAAAGACAATTAAATAAGAATTCTTCTCTTTCAGATATAAGAAAAGAAATTGAAAATGAAGCAGATGTTCCAAAAGAATTTGTATTTGAAGATCAAAAAGGAAGTAAAATAGAAAAAGATAAAGAACAAACATTAAAATTAACATCTATTCTTTATGATAATAAGATCAATATAACAGAAAAAGTAGTATCTGATGTATCTCCAAAACCACGTAATAGTACTTCTTTAAATACTCCCACAGCACCTGTTGGTTCACCAAATAATAATGCAAAACCTTGCAGAAAATCAAATCAAAATATTTCAGAAAATGCACATTTCTACCCACATGACAAAGACATGATTGAAAAGGGTAGTGAAGAAACGACATCTGGAGAAGATAAAATAAATGTTCTTAAAAATGAGAAAGAAAATACATCAAAAATGGATCTTGTAACTGTTGAAATATGTTTGAATAAAAAACATTTAGTGGAAAGACAACTAAATAAGAATTCTTCTCTTTCAGATATAAGAAAGAAACTTGAAACAGGAAAAAATGTACCAAAAGGTTTTATATTTGAGGATCAAAAAGGAAGTAAAATAGAAAAAGATAAAGAACAAACATTAAAATTAACATCTATTCTGTATGATAACAAGATCAATATAACAGAAAAAGTAGTACTTCATAGTTCTCCAAGTAACACTATAGTATCTGGTGTATCTCCAAAATCACGTAACAGTACTTCTTTAAACAATACCATATCACCTGGTATTTCACCAAGTTATATTTTAAAACCTTATACTTCTCCAAATAATACTATAGATATACCTGAAAAAAATATTCCAATTAAAGGAAGTAAACAATTGAAAAATCAGGGAGGGGGAAAATTGAAAATATATTTATATCCAAATGAACCATTTAATCCAAAGGATGAGAACGATGCAATTGCTATTTTAGTTGTTGGACAAACAGGAAGTGGTAAAACAACATTATTAAATAGTTTTGTAAATGCATTATATGGAATCAAGATAACAGATGATTTTAGATATATAATTATAAATGAAGATAATTTAGAACAGAGTAAAGATCAATCTAAAAGTCAAACAAGTAAAGTTTCAATTTATAATATTAAAAGAACAAAAAGAACACCACCAATAAAAATAATAGATACACCTGGATTTGGAGATACAAGAGGAATTGAACATGATATGAAAATAACTAATGAAATAAAAGAAACATTTGAAACAAAAGTATTAGATTTAAATGCTATTTGTTTTGTTGCACAATCAAGTAATGCAAGATTAACAGTAAATCAAAAGTATATATTTAATAATATTATTAATTTATTTGGGAAAGATGTAAAAAAGAATTTTATTGCTATGCTTACATTTTGTGATGGTAAAAAACCACAAGCCATTAATGCATTACAATCGCAAGATTGTGTTTTCAGTTCAATTATTCCAGAAATAGATAAACCATGGTATTTAAAGTTTAATAATTCAGCCATTTATGATGATGATATTAAAGATGGATTTACACAAATGTTTTGGGAATTAGGAATGAAAAGTTTTGATGAATTTATTGAAAAATTAAAAAAATTACCAAGAAAATCATTAGAAACATCCAGAGAAGTTTTAAAGAGAAGAGAACAAATTAAGACCGAAATTGAAGGGTTAAGAGAATCAGTAAATATTGCTTTGTTAAAAATGGATCAAATAAAAGAGGAGTATGAAAAAATTAGTTTTTATCGTGATAAGATCAATGAAAACAAAGACTATAAATTTACTGTAAATGAAGTAGTACAAAAAACTGTTGACTTAGAAGGAGAATATGCAACTAATTGTAAGAAATGTAATAAAACATGTCATTATCCATGTAGTGTTCCATCTATTGTTTCATTCTTTACGATGAAATTTTGTCATTGTATTGAAGATGGATATTGTAATGTATGTGGGTGTCATCACTCAGATCATGCAAACTTCAAATTTAGATATGAGTATGTAACAGAAACAAAAGAACAAACAGCAAAAGAAGTATTCGAAAGATACAACCAAGGTAAAGAAGGTATGGCTAATGCGGAAGATATTTTAGAAACGTTACAAGATGAATATATTAAAATCCAATTTGATTGTTATGATAAACAAGAAAGAATTAAAGAGTGTGTTAATATATTATCATCAATTGCATTAAATAATAAAGTTACTAGTTCTAATGAATATTTAGACATGTTAATTAAAACTGAGGAAGAAGAAAAGAAATATGGATATCAAAAACGAATAGCAGGATATAAAAAATTAAAACAAACAAATGAAATGATAGAAGATATTATGGAAAAATCACCTTCAAAACAGAGTAGGGAGGAGATTATGGCGGAACTTGAAAAAGGAAAGAATGAATTAAAACAAGGAGAAAAATCAACATTAGATACAATCTTACAACAATTGAGAAATAAACTTCCATGGCAACAGTAAGAAATTAAATGAAAGTTTTAATTAATTGGTTTAAAAGTTATTATTTAATTAAATAATAAAAATGATAAATAATGTTCTTTATTTTCTAATGTGAATTCTGTTCATTTTTTATTATTAATTAATTTCTCTATGTATATTTGAATATAATATAATAAATGAATCAAATGAATTATCATATTGTTAAATATAATATTTTAATATCAATGTTAATTTCAATTTCAGTTTTTAAATAATTTATTGTTCTTTTCTTTCTTATTAATTGATATGTCATTCTTTATATTTGTTTTATATTCTCTTTATATTCTTTATTTCTTTTTATTTTATTTTTATATTCTTATTCTTATCTTTCTCTTTTATTTTATTTCTTTATATCTTTTATTTTATATCTTTATTTTCTTTTGTTTATTATTTATTATATATTTTATCTTATTTATCTTCTTATTTATTTATATTTATATTTATTCATTCTTTATTCATCATTTTGTTTTAATTTATATTAAAATTATTTAGAAATGAGAGAATATAATGTTGAATTTGATTTTATATTTTGATTATCTCATTAATGAAATTGTTGATTAATGATTATTGTTGATAATATTTATATTTCATTTTATTATTATTTATTGATGATTTCATTATATTGATTGTTTATGAAACAAATAAATACTTCTTATTGATTAATATCATCTGATTCATTCATTAAATG